GCCCCTCTCCATCACCTTTCCAACTACCCCTTCTGCCGTGTCCCTTCCCACCACCTCCACCTCCCTGCAGCCCCCGGGCCTGGGCAGGGCTTTGTTGGCGGCCGGGAAAGGCCGGGTAGGGGTGGGATGGGGCGCGCAGGGGATACAGGACACCCCCCACATCCGTTCAAGGAGAGATGCACACGGCCTCCAAGTGTCACAGGATCTCCCTCTCTGCCCTCCACACAGAGTGACTCTACATTGGAAACCAGGGAGGCCCCCACATTTGATATACGGGCCTAGAATGTACACCATTCAATCACCATCGGACCCGGACTGTTCCCAGCATACAAGAAACACAGGTCTTTCATTCACCGCAGGTTACGGGCTGTGTGTGTGCACCCAGGACAACCCCAACACACACAGTTGGCGGCTCAGCCTGATGTCCCTGACACTCACACCCTCTCCCAGCCCTCAGTACCGTGTCTCTACAAGGGTTGGACAGCACCAAACTGAAATCTGAGTGCTCAAGTCCATCCCTTGAGTATCGTCTGCCCCGTGGACATCCCAGCTAGCTCCCTCTATGTCCCCCGTTTGGCAGGTCTATCCATCTGTCCGTCCATCCGTGGGGGTCCGCAATGGCCACCTTCAGCCGCCAGGAATTTTTCCAGCAGCTGCTGCAGGGCTGTCTCCTGCCTACTGCCCAGCAGGGTCTTGACCAGATCTGGCTGCTCCTTGCCATCTGCCTCGCCTGCCGCCTCCTCTGGAGGCTTGGTAAGTGCCTGCCACACCATGGGCCACCACACCAGGGATATCACACCTGCCACGTTCATCCCTACCAAGCCAAACCTTATCCTGCCAAGTCTTGCCAAGTCAGCCAGGCTCCGACACGTCAAGCCTATCACATCCCACCAGGTTAAGCACCATTCTACCATACCATGTCCTACTACACCCAGCCACCTCATGCTCCACCACGCCAAGCCACATCCTGCCATGCCAACCATGCCAAGCCATGCCTTTCAGTATTCCTGGGTTCTGGGATTCTGGAAAGCTGAAGTTCTTGGATCTTGGGATCCTGATATGTCTACATCCCAAGGTTATAAGATTCTGAAAATGCTGATGTCACAAGGTGATGGAAAGTACCGCATATCCCCAAGTACCATGTTATAGGGTTTGGAGATTCCAACAAGTTAAAATTCTCACCTTCTAAGCTTCCCAAATGCTGGCATTCTAGAATCAGGGCATAAGCTTTCTGGATTCTAGGATTCTGGAATGTTTCCACAATCGTGGCAAGCCTATATCCAAATGACAAGATTCCAAGTCCCCAGGGTTCCCATAGGATGCTGAGAATTTTGGAAATCTGAGATTCAGAGGTTCTACACTTTCTTTTTCCTTATTCTTTTATTTTAAATGGATGTTTTATTTTTTTTCCCCCCAGGTTTATCAGTTTGAAAAATTTCAAAGTTACTGAAAAGCTAAGTTGAGAGAATAGTGCAGTGAACACCCATATATGCATTACCCGACTGGATTCTCCAAATGTCACCATCTTGCCACATAAGCTCGCTCTGTTTATCTATCTATCTATCTATCTATCTATCTATCTATCTATCTATCTATCTATCTTCTTCCTGAATCACTTGAATAACCTGCTGCCACTGTACCCCCAATCCTTTTCTGTGTGTCCCCCAAGAACAAGGACATCTTCCCCCAAACTACAGTCTCAACCATCACCCCTCAGGAGATGCAATCTGGATGTAGTAATATTATCCAATATAAGTTATGCAGATTTCCTCCAGGGTTCCCCAGATGTCCTTTATAGATGCCTCTTTTCTTTAAACCCAAGCCCTTCCATCTCTCCAGCTCCCTAATACCTGCTTTGGGCCCCCTGCCATCCCATTCCAACCTCTAAGCCTTTCTTTACCTGGGCTGTGCCCTCTGCCTGGGTTGCCCTGCTACCAGTCCCGCTCAAATTCCCTTTCTTGTTCTCTCCCTCTGTCTCTCTGTCTCTGTCTGTCTCTCTCACGCAAAGGGTTGCCGTCCTACCTGAAGCACGCAAGCACCGTGGCAGGCGGGTTCTTCAGCCTCTACCACTTCTTCCAGCTGCACATGGTTTGGGTCGTGCTGCTCAGCCTCCTGTGCTACCTCGTGCTGTTCCTCTGCCGACATTCCTCCCATCGCGGCGTCTTCCTCTCCGTCACCATCCTCATCTACCTACTCATGGGGTACGGGCGTGAGTCCTCATCCCCACGCTGTCGGCAGAAGGGCGGGTGGGTCCCCAGATCGCTCCTCGTGAGGCTGTCCAGGACAGGGAGGACATGGGGTGTTGCTGGAGGGGGGACTCCAAGAGACTTGTGCTTTCTGAAGGCTCTTTGGGACAGGCTGGACTTGGGCTCCCCCTGGAGGAGGGATCCCTGGAGAACTCTTCCTTCATGAGGTTGTGCAGGGCAGGGGAAGGTATATCCTCGTCGCACCTGGGTTTTCCCCCTCCTTTGTGGTTTCTGAGGCCATGGGAGTCATAGGGCCAAGACCACCACCTTTTTCCTCAGTGAGATGCACATGGTGGACACGGTGACATGGCACAAGATGCGAGGTAGGCAGCCCTGGACCTCTCACCTGCCCCGGCCCTCCAGCCCCACTCCACATCTCCTAACTCCCCAACCTAGTCTTTCCTTCCTCACTTTTCTCCCCCATCTGCCTCGCCCACTGGACATGCAGACCTCAGATCCCCCTTACGTCTGTGTTTTTCTCTACCATGACTTCTCCCCATCTGTCTGTCCCATCTCATGGAATCTCTTGAGTCAGGGTGTCTGCCAGTCCCGGACCCACCTGCTCGACTGCCTGTCTGACCCTGTGCCCACCTGTCCACCCTTGGACTCTTCTTTCCTGCCACCTCTCACCTGGTGTTCCCTGTGCCCCCACGCTGACCCGCTCTCTGCTCATCCACTTGACTGTGGGCACCACACATAGGGGCCCAGATGATCGTGGCCATGAAGGCGGTGTCTCTGAGCTTCGACCTGGACCGGGGTGAGGTGGGTGCGGTGCCCTCGCCCGTGGAATTCATGGGCTACCTCTACTTCGTGGGCACCATCGTCTTTGGGCCCTGGATACCCTTCCACAGCTACCTACAGGCTGTCCAAGGCCGCCCACTGGTGAGGTCCTGGGTGGACAGGCGGGCAGGGACTGTGGGAGCCACCGTGGGGCCGTTTTCATGGAGCCTTGATCCCCACAGAGCCGCCGATGGCTGCAGAAGGTGGCCCGGAGCCTGGCGCTGGCCCTGCTGTGCCTTGTGCTGTCCACCTGTGTGGGCCCCTACCTCTTTCCATACTTCATCCCCCTTGATGGTGACCGCCTCCTTCGCAAGTGAGCACAGCCTTTGAGGCCTCTGCCCAGCAGTGAGGGGGGTTGGGTAGGGACCTGGGGTCTCCCCGGCTCTGAGCTTGTCTCTTAATGCTTCTGTCTGTCTTCTGTTACTACAGCAAGAAACGCAAAGCCAGGTAAATGAAGGCAGGTGCTGAGAGCGAGTGGGGCTGACTGGGGGGATGCGGCGTGGGGCACAGTCTGTGACCAATTGGTTCTGTAAGTCTGAGACTGTCCGACCGTCTACCATGACTAGACAGAGACTGAGTGTCTGTCTGTGGCTGTGGTTTGACCCAGCCTGCCCCTATGACTCCGTGTACAATGGATACTCCAACACATACTGTCTGGCTGTCCATCTGTTCCACTGTTTCACCATTAGAAGCAAGCTGTGACTACAACGGGGAGTGACAAATACATGCTGGTTGGTGACACTGACCTGTGACTCTGGCTAGGGGTGTATATGGGTTATTTTTCTATCAGCCACTGGCTCCTCATTGTGGGACTGGAATTCTGGCTGTCTGGCTGTGCCTTTGTCAACGACGGGGGTATGTGGCTGCCCTGGATAAGTCAAGTCTGACTCGTCTGTAACTCTGGCTGGGAACGGGTCTGACTGTCGCATGTGGTGTGCGTGCGTGTCTGTGGTGGATTCTGCCTGTGGGTCTGCCTCCTCTGGCTCCGGGGTGTTGTCTAGCTGAGGGGTTGTGAATGACTGCGTGCCTGTGCCTGTCTGCAGGACCAGTCATCCACCCCCGGTGTGACTGTAGGATTTCATCTGGCTGCTTGAGTGTGTGACTCTCTCCCCCACTTACTGGCCACTGATTCTGTCTGCTGCTGAATGAGGCTCTGAAAGGGGGAATGACTTGGCCTAGTGTCACCCAGCCAAAGCAGCCATGCATGAATCCCAGAACCTAAGCATTTTCCAGTGTAAGATACGGCCTGTTTTTGACTGTGTCTGATTGTACAACTGACAGGATGACTGCCTTGAGTGTAGAGTTGTGTACATGTGCATAGCAGGGTGCTTGGTGGTCTCCGTGCCTTACTAAAGGACTTCCACGTGTCTTAGAGTCACTGAGTCAGATCAGAGAGCTGGAAGTCTGGGAGTCTGATCGAATGTGTGTTTGGACACGTGGTTATGACAGTGTGTAGGGCGGTGAGGTCGGCCTCTAACAGGGGCTGGGTCTGGATGTCTGGCCACGTGAGGCTGCGGGACCGGGTGAGGCCCACACAGCCATTTGAACCGCATGAGACTTACTGGCAGTGGATGGATGGATGGATGGGTGGGACTGTCATACTGCACCCCTTTTGCTGCCATGTTTCTGTCTGTCTCGTCTACGAGCAACTCAGGCCAGCTTCCGGGGCCTCTCTGACTCTTTCCTTTCTTCTCTGCTGCCTTCCTGACTCCTGGGGGCCCTAGGGGCACCATGGTAAGGTGAGTCTACAGAGTGGGGTCAGGGATGCTGCCACACGGTGGGGTGTCACCCTGGGGCCCCGGGAGTGATGCCTCTCCCCCCGGCTTTCTCCCCAGGTGGCTGCGAGCCTACGAGAGTGCTGTCTCCTTCCACTTCAGCAACTATTTTGTGGGCTTTCTGTCTGAAGCCACAGCCACGCTGGCGGGGGCCGGCTTCACCGAGGAGAAGGATCACCTGGAATGGTGGGGAGGGCTGGGGGGCCCCCCCTCTCCCACAGGGTGCCCAGAGGAGATGTGGGGGGGTGCTCCCAGGGGAGGGAACAGCCAAGAACAAAAGCGTGGCAGTCAGATGGGTTGAAATCCTCAAATGAGTTTGCATATCTCTTTTTTGCCTACAGGGACCTGACAGTGTCTAAGCCACTGAACGTGGAGCTGCCCCGGTCCATGGTAGAAGTTGTCACAAGCTGGAACCTGCCCATGTCTTATTGGCTAAATAATTGTGAGTCACCAAGAGAGTCGGGAGTCCTCAACCCACGTCCCTTTCACACATTCAAACAAGCTGAAGATAGCACAGGGACCAAAAAAACCCCAAATCCCTGCCCTGGTGGAACTGACATTTTGATAGAGGGAGCAGATAAGAAGAAAAAAATACACAATAGTTCAGGTGGTGATAAGTGCTATGGTGAAAAAAAAATAAAGCTGGTAAAGATGATCTGGGAGTGTCAGCAGGAGTGTTTGGGTGGGGGTGGCTGCAATTTTAAATGCATTTGCCAGAGCAAGTCCCACTGAGGAGCTGACATTTGAGCAAAGACCTGGGGAGGGTGAGAGAGCAAGCAATGCAAATATGCAGGGGAGGAATTTAACACATGGCAAGAACAGCAAGTGCAAAGGTCCTGAGGCAGGATCCCAGCTGGCACATTTGAGAAATTGTGAGGAGACCAGTTTGGTGGGATCAGAGGGAGTGAGGGGACCAGCTGGCAGGTGGTAGGGTCAGAGAGGTGACGGGGGCCTGGTCTTCTAGGGCCTCTCTGGCCACGGGGAGGACTTAGGCTTTTTCTTGGGTCCAACCAGAGGAGGGCTGTGGGCTGACTTGGGTTGTGATGGAGCCCTCTGGCTACTGTGAGGACAGATGGGGAGGGAGCGAGGGCGGCAGTACATATGGAGGGGAGAAATCAGATTCTGGAAATGACGGGATTTGCTGAGAGTTTGGCTGTGGGAGTAAGGGGAGGGCACATCAAGGGTGATTCTGAGGGTTTTGCCCGGAGGAACTGGAAGGGTGTCGTTGACACTGGCTGCACTTGGGGAGACTATGGGAGGAACAGGTTGGGAGGGAAGATCAGGAGCTAAGTTTTAGACACGTGAAGTTTGAGGCCATTATAAAGAGACCTTTTATCCCTGGGGACCCTAAGAGGTGGTGGGTATCCTCACCCTGGCCTATGGCCCCATCCCTGAGGAAGGGCAGGGGGGAATCTCAGGAGACTCTCAACTCAGTCTCCCCCCTGCAGATGTTTTCAAGAACGCTCTCCGCCTAGGGACCTTCTCAGCCGTGCTGGTCACCTATGCAGCCAGCGCCCTCCTGCACGTGAGCAGGGCAGAGTGGGACTGGGGTGGTAGCCCGGTGTGGGGGCAGGGCCTCCTCCTTATTCACCTCATTAACCGCCCCCCACCGTTGCCCTGCCAGGGCTTCAGTTTCCATCTGGCTGCGGTGCTGCTGTCCCTGGCATTTATCACTTACGTGGAGCACGGTGAGTGCAGAACCCAGCCCAGCAGATGGATGGAAGGTCAGTGGGGAACTGGAACCACTGTCCCTCCACCGCGAGGCTAACCTGACACCCTTATCACCCCCTCCATCTGCCCTAGTTCTCCGAAAGCGCCTGGCTCGGATCCTCAGTGCCTGCGTCTTATCGAAACGGTGCCCACCAGACTGTTCACACCAGCATCGCTTGGTGAGGGTTCAGCCTAGGCCACCTTGTGCCCAACACTCCCCCTGAAAAATATTACTTCCATCTCCGTTTTATATCTGTCCCAGGGTGACCAACTTCCCCTTTCAGTGCCTGAACCAGCCCCGTAACCTCACCTCTATTCACTGGCATCCATTTCTCTAATGACCATTTCTCAAGCAACTGCTGTCTACATACCTGGCATTAGTTTCCCCCGATGAACATCTGTTGAGTGCCTGCTGGTACCAGGCACTGTTCTTGCGGAGCTGGAGACACAGTGGTGAACAAAACAGACCAAAGTCCCAGCCCTCTGGGACAAACATTTTAACAGGGGAGACAGGAAATGAAAAATAAATCAAGTATGATAGTTTGTTAGATTGTGATTAGTGCCAAGGCAAAAACACATAAGGGACAGAGGAAGGGAAGTATCAGGGGGGCGAATGGTTTCTAGTTTAAATGAAGAGGTGACTTTTGAGTTTTTCACTGAAGAAGGTGAGGGAAGAAAGCATTTCAGGCAAAGGGAACAACCACTGTAAATGCCCTGAGATGGGAGAGGGCCTGGACTGTTCGAGGAACAGCGAGGAGGCCAGTGTGGCTTGGCTTGAACAAAGTGAGTGGTGGGCCCTGTAGGTCATGGTGAGGATTTGCTTTGGTTTGGGTTTTTTTTTCTCATTCTTTTTGCAAAAAGAAGTATGGATAATTTCAGATTTGTCTTCCACCCAAACCAACTTAAAGTTCCACCCGCCATGCTTCCTCCTCTGTCTGAACACTCCCATCTCCCCCAACCTGGACACTCTCATGCTAACAGTACCCTCATCCTTGGACCACCCCACCTTGAGCTCCCATAGGAGAATGTGAACCTTTCCTTTCCTACGGCAGGGGGGTTGCCCTAGACATCCTCATTCCTGTGCCTTGTGCGTTTCCCTGGGCTCCCCTGCCCAGGCGGGGCTGGGGGGACAGTGATTAGGTCCAGCTGCCAAGTATATACATCTGTCCCTCACAGGGCCTGGGGGTGCGAGTCTTAAACCTGCTCTTTGGGGCCCTGGCCATCTTCCACCTGGCCTACCTGGGCTCTCTGTTCGATGTTGATGTGGACGACACCACAGAGGAGCAGGTGAGGTGGGGCCCTGGGCTGGGGACTATGCAGGGATGTGGTCCCTGCTCGTGGGAACCTTGAGGACAAAGGTGGGGAGGCCGAGCAAGGCATGAGGATCTCATGTTGTGTTGTGTGACTCTAGCTCATGCAGCCTGTGCTCCTTGGTCCCAATTTTCCCACTGTCCCTCTGGCTGAGTCACACTGTTGGGTCTTTTACTTGGGTGAAGAGTGCAAAATATGTTTATTTTACTTATAAAATTTATTTCATGGAGCTGGAGGGCAAAATCCAGGTTTTACTTTTTTTTAAGTTCATTATTTCATCATAGTTTTCTTTCAGCCGAATTTGCACACTCTCTTTCTTATTTAATTTTTTTAAAAAAATATTTTTACTTACATTGTGCAAATTCTGATTCTATTTTAAAAGCACATGATAAAATGTATGTGCTATGTTTTACTCAGGTGGAGTATGCACAGTCCAGATTTTACTCCTTTTTAAATGGAAAACAATTATAAATAATGTTTATTCATATGGCTCTAGCAGGATCCATCCAGGTCTTGCTTCTCTTTTAGTTAAATTCTTAACTGAAAATCAAACTTTATTTTATATTATTTTATACTTTGTCATTAAAAACAATTTAAAATTTTTTTACTCAGGTTAAATGTGCAAAAGCTGGGTTTTGCTTCTTTTTAAATAAAGTTTTTGCCTTATTTGAATTCAAGTATTAAAAATAGTTAATGCATATCACATGGTTCAAAAACCAAACTGGGGGGAGGGTATAGGTTAGTGGTAGAGGGTGTGCTTAGCATGCATGAGTCCTGGGATCAATCCCCAGTACCTCCATTAAAATAATAATAATAATAATAATAATAATAATAATAATAATAATAATAATAATGTTCAAAAAAACCTCAAACTATTCAAGATGTTCAGGGGAAAGTCTTACTCCTACTGTCTTACCCCCTGCCCTCTTACAGATAAGCACTTTTATTCATTTTATTCAAATTTCGTCCTAACATTTAAGCATAATAAGCAAATATAGAAAATCTATTTTCATTCCCTCCCCCTGATTTTTACCCTAAAGGTAACACATGAATGACACTGTGTTGCATGTTGCTTTTTTCACATAATAATTCCTGAAAATCTTCCACATTAGTACAGTGTCCTCATTCATTTTTTTCCATTGTGACACAATGTAGTTTGTCCCCTATTGGTGGACACTCAGATGATTTCCACTCCTTTCCTATTGTTTTTTTTTACTTTTTTTAACTACTGTTTTTTTAATGGAGGTACTGGGGATTGAACCAAGGACCTCATGCATGCTAGATGTGGACTCTACCACTGAGCTCTACCCTCCCCACCCCACTCCTTTCCTATTGTAAGTGATGCTGCAGCAAGTAATACCTTCAAGTGTGTGTGGATTCCCACAGGTGCAGAAAGAGCTGTAGGATCTATTCCTTTTTTTAAAATTTATCCTATTTAAAAATTTTTCTTTAAATAGAGGTGCTGGGGATTGAACCCAGTACCTCATGCATGCTAAGCACACACTCTACCACTGAGCTATACCCTCCCACCCCCATAGGATCTATTCTTGGATACAAGATGGAGGGGGTGGGGGTATAGCTCAGTTGGCAGAATGCATGCTGAGCATGCATGAGGCACTTGGTTCAATTCCCAGTACCTCCATTTGAAAAGAAAGAAAAGAAGATGAAGAAGTTACCTTTTTGCCCTCCCACCAGCAGTGTGTGATCCTGCCTGTCACCCCACAAACTGTGCCTCTCAGACTTCATGGAGATGTTTGCCAGTTTGAGAGGAGGAAGATTATGAGTGAGGCTGAGTATCTTTTCATATGTTTAAGAGCCATTTTTTTTCCTTTACTGAAAAGGGCTTACTCACCTCCTTTGTTAATTTTTGTCTTTTTAGAAAAAAAATGGTGGGGGGTAATTAGGTTTATTTATTTATTTTTAATGGAAGTACTGGGGATTGAACCCAGGACCTCGTGCATGCTAAGCACACACTACCACTGAGCTATACCCTCTCCTCTAGTTTTTGTCTTTTAAAAAAAAATCAATTTCCAGGAGCTCTTTATTTATAAGGGAGAGTACAGGCTAAAAAGTGGGATTGCCTTGACTTGTCCTGTAAAATGATTTTTAAAGGAGAAGAAAATACAAAAGGAAAAAAAAACGAAATCTGCTTACCTTTCTTATTGTACCCAGTCTCTTCTCTCAGGTCTCACCTAGGGTTGCAGTGAAGTCACAGAAACATCCTTGAGCAAAGGATGGGTTTTCTTGAGGCCTTCTTTGTTCTTGCTGAGTGGGACCAACCATCACCTCTTTCTCTCCCACAGGGCTACGGCATGGCATACACTGTCCACAAGTGGTCAGAGCTCAGCTGGGCCAGTCACTGGGTCACTTTTGGATGCTGGATCTTCTACCGTCTCATAGGCTGAGGCACAGATGTGGACCCTCACAGCTCCCTCAAGACCCCTCCTCAGGGTGCCACCTCTGATGGGGGATGAAGGAAGGCCCTCTCTCTAATTCTTGACCCTCTCTCCATCCTTGACCTCCCCCAAGACCCCTACACACACACACACACACAAACACACACATACACCATTTCCATGCCTGTCAATCCCCACCCACCACAAGGCGGGAAGGGAGTGGTCCCTTCTGGGGCCTAGGGGTGGAGGATGCTTGGGGAAGCAGAGAGGGGGAGATCCAGGGCCTCCCCGCCTTCCTTGTCCCTTTTTATATACGGTTTGTTATTATCGAATAAAAGTAGGAAATGTACAAAAGGTACTTTCTTCACTGCTAAGTGGCGAATAGGAGTGAGAAAGGAGGCACAGAATGGATAAAGGTTTAGCAGCTGGACACCTGAAGTGGGATCAGGTTGTGATTGGTTCGTGGTCAATTTATTATCATTCATGATTGGATGATAAGTCTGAGGCTAACACTGCTTAGGATAGATTGGATAGTTGGATGTGGGGGACGCCTGATACTAATTGGCTGGGAAAACTGAGGGATCCCCATTCTGATGGGTTGCTCTGACTGGGACAGAGGAAGGAAAGCAAGCCAGATGAAGAGATGATGCTTATTGGTCCTTAGGAGTGAGGGGTGTGGGTTCTAATTGGTTAGAAAGCCTGGAATGGGTTTGGACTCTGATGAACAGTCTGGGTGCCCACCGGCTTAGAGTTGTGGAGTTCTGATTGGCTGTTTAGAGTTGGCACAGGGAGATTGAGGTTCTCCACGTCAATTGGCCAGCAAGGCTGAGGGGTCTGGGTTTTGACTGGTTCTGACTTGAAGTTGGGAGAGGTGAAGATGACCAGAGGGAGAGACAGAGGCGCAGTGTATAGGATGTGATCTGCCTGTCATTTTAACAGTTCCCTTGCCCATTCAGGCATTAAGACTGAAGGTTGGTCTGGGAAGACTGGTTGCTCTGCCTTTGAAAACGAGGGCAAAGGTGAAAGGACATAACGCAATGCTGTTTCCACAGCAGATAAGGAGGTTAAACACCCAATTTCCAACGTGATTGATAAGGGAATAGAAAAATTAAAACCGACACTAGCTGCAGATTGGTTTCCAGCCGAAAACGCCCAGCAACCTTGGCCCTCCCAGCCTCTTCCACTCCTGACTGGGTCTCAACCAACAGCGAAAATGGCACCACGCGTGAGGGTGGGGCCGGCGGTGCACAGAGAACTCCTATTGGTTGGGAGCAGCACAGGCCGCCTTCCCAGCCCTTCCATTGGCCAGCTCCGTAAGGCAAGGAACCTGTGAGAGGGTGGTTCTGAACTAGGAATATTTCGGAGCCAGCGAGCTAGCCTAGAGGACCCGGGAGCCTGTGGCAGAAGCTGCTGCAACCGCGCTGCTGGGTAAGCGCTCCCGTGTGGCCTGCCACTCCATTCCCTAGGCCTCAATTGCTAAACAGCCGGCTCTCTGCGCGCGTACGCAAGACCCTTCCCCCCGCCACCCCTGCCCCGCCATTCCCACGCGCCTGCGCAGGACCCCCAGCTACCGCGCGGTCGTCCGGACGACAGAAGATCCGCCTTCTCATTGGGCAGCTGGACTAGAGGGTTCTAGTTCTGATTGGTGGTCTCTGTACTTGACCCTCCTTTTCCTCTTTAGCGCCCCGCGCAAGACCCCTGCCCTCCGCTTCCTCTTTCTTGCAAGTTGGCTGCGGGAAGCGCTGTTTCAGGAGGAATCGGGCCATCCCACACACTGAACCTGAGGGTCGTAGTTCTGATTAGTCTTCTCTCTTCTGTCCTGCAGTTTCCAGGACTACGGGGAGGGTAATACCTTTTCGTTGAATGATGCAAGACAGTGACCCCTGCAATAGGACCTAACCTGGTCGTTGTGTCTCCCCCAGCCGACTGTGACCCATGAGGACTGGAACCAGTTCCGGCTCCTGTGTCTCCCCCAGCCGACTGTGACCCCTGAGGGCGGGCACCAGTCCTGGTTCCTGTGTCTTCCCCCACCAGACCAATGAGGACTGGAACCTAGTGTGATTCTTGTGTCTGCCCACCAGACTGTGACCAATGAGGGCAGAGACTAGGTCTGGTTCCTGCCTTCCCCAGCAGACTGTGACCAATGGGAGCTGGGACCTGGTCTGGTTCCTGTGTCTACCACATCGTATGGTTCCCAGAGGGCTGGAACAAGCTTTCAGTCTTTCTGTAGTCTTATAGCCATGTTTTTAAGTCAGTATATAATTCTTTTACTTGAGTCTGCCTGTTAACCGGTTAACTGAGTCCATTTACATTTCTTGTCATAATGAACTACTTGGATTTGATTTTATGATCTCATTCTGTGCTTTCTATTTGTTTAGGTTTATCCACCTCCTTTTTTCTTCTTTCTACATATCCACATACAGCTATCAGTCTACAGAGACATGTCCACCAACGCCGGCCCCATGCATCCATACTGGCCTCAGCACCTGAGGCTGGACAACTTTGTGCCCAATGACTACACCACCTGGCATCTCCTGGCTGGCCTCTTCTCCGTCTCTGGGGTCTTACTTACGACCACGTGGCTGTTGTCAGGTCGTGCTGCAGTCACCCCACTGGGGACTGGGCGGAGACTGTCCCTGTGCTGGTTTGCAGTGTGTGGGTTCATTCACTTGGTGATTGAGGGCTGGTTCAGCCTCTACCACGAGGACCTTCTTGGAGACCAAGCCTTATTGTCCCAGCTCTGTGAGTCCTGAGTTCTATGATGTGCTGTGGGAGGGAATTTTCTGGGAAGGGATTGATTTAGTTTACCCCCTCACCGACTCCTTTTCCATTAACTTATTTTTTAAATTTATTTAATTTTTTTGTCTCATATATATTCACATGGGTCAAAAAACAAACCATTTAAAGAGGTATGCAGTGAAAATCTACCTTCTGTCCACCAAGTTTCCCCAATTATTTATTACCACTGTTAATTGCTTATATTTCCTTTCAGGGTTTTACACGTAAATTACACACATACGCTTCAGTTTTCACAGTTGTATAAGAGGGACCAAAGTAATATCCAAATATATATAAGACACTTAGAACAGTGTTTAGCAGACAGTAGATGCCATGTAACTGTCATCATGATTTTTATTTTTCCCTTTTGTGTAAATGGTAACGTGCTATATACACTTCTAAACTTTGCTTTTTTTTAAATGAGGTCACTCCTCCTCAGTTCATAAAGAGTTTTGAAAGCGCAGATGTTACAGAATGATTTGACTTCTCCAGTATTGATAGGCATTCACCCCCACCCCCACCCCCACCCCAATCTCTTGCTGTTAACAAACAATACTCCTTTCTGGCCTCATGAAGAAAGCTGCCAGAACATTCTGTGTGGCAATCTGCCTTCATTTCTCCTGGATAAACAGGGAGGAGTGGAATGGCTGGGTCACATGGTAGATGGATGTTTAACTTTATGAAAAGCTGCCAAACCGTTTTCAAGAATGGCTGCACCATGTCATATTCCCAGCAGCAGTATAGGGGAGTTCTAGTGTTTCCCCATCCTCACTGACACTTGGTATGGTCGGGTGTTTCTTAAAATGTTAGTCCTTCTTGTGCATGTGAGTGCTATCATTATGGTTTTAATTTGCTTTTCCTCGATGACCAGTGAAAGTTTGAGTACCTTTCATGTTTACTGACCATTTGGAAATCCTCTTTTGTGAAGAACCTATTCCAGTCTCCTGTCTATTTTTATCTTGGGTGATCTATCTGTTTCTGACTGATTCTCTCCTCACTCTTTCATTCATCTGTTCACCTTTGTGCTTGCTCTGTTTCACGCTCATTGGCTACTTCACCCTCTCCATCATTTACACCTGCCTCATTTCATGCCGCAACCATTTATTGAATACCCAACAATCACAGCAACACTTATTGTTCTGTGTCAGGTTTGCACACATTATCTTGTATATGTATATTAACTCTTGAGTCCAAACAGCTACCCCATTTCACAGATGAGGAAACTGAGGCATGGGGAGGTTATAAAGCCTGCCTTCTTACATGGGTCCTTGGCTCTCATGAGTCTGAGTTCCTTTTCCTGCCAGTATTCTTCACATCTGTCTTCTGTCTTCTCCAGGGAAAGAGTATGCCAAGGGTGACAGCCGTTACATCCTGTAAGTGTTTGCCTCTGTCAAGGGAGATCTGCATCGGTTTTGGGTGGTGGTGAGTCGGGAGCACTAATGGGGTGCCTGGTGCCCTACACAGTGATGCCAGTTTACACCCCCTATCCTTTCTTCTGCAGGAATGATAACTTCACGATATGTATGGAGACCATCACAGCTTGGCTGTGGGGTCCACTCAGCCTATGGGTGGTGATCGCCTTTCTCCGCCAGCAGCCCCACCGCTTTGTCCTACAGCTTGTGGTTTCTGTGGGTGAGGAGAGGGCCCATGCTGGATGTTTGCTGGCTTGATGGGGGATCCACAGACATGGGGGCATCCCTGCGGGTGGGATCTCTCAATAGTGCCCATTGAGGGTTGAGTCTGACTGAATTTTAACAAACTCCCTGAGGTTCTGGAACAGCCATGCCCCGCTTGGCCTGAATTCTCATTTCTCCTCCCACTCCATCACAAAGCCTCCTGTAAAGGTTCCATGAGGTGGCCCATGATGGCAAGAAGTCCCTGGGTCCCCCAGGATCAGGATTCTGAGCTGCCTTCATCTGAGATTCAATGTTCTTACATTGTTAGCTTTCTGCCAATGTGAGTTCTCTTTAGTCCTGGAATTCTGAGCTGTCTTAAAGGATCTGGAGCTTCCTTAAATTCGGGAGCGATGAACTCTCCTGAGTTCAGAATTTCTCAGCTTCCGATTTCTGAAATTCTCCCTTTCCTGATTTCTCAACTTTTCACCTGGATGATTTCAGAGTTCTTAGCTCTCTGAATTGGAGAATCCTAAGCTCTGAAGACTTGGAAAATGGCTTGGAATTGCACCTCCTCCTCACAAGGTTTCCCTCTTTCTCTTCTACTTCCCACAGGTCAGATATATGGGGATATTCTCTATTTCCTGACAGAGTACCGTGATGGATTCCAGCATGGGGAGCTGGGCCACCCACTCTACTTCTGGTTTTACTTTGTCTTCATGAATGCTGTGTGGCTGGTGCTGCCCGGAATCTTTGTGCTCGATTCAGTGATGCATCTCGCTCATGCCCAGAGCATGCTGGATGCCAGAGCCACAAAAGCCAAGAGCAAGCAGAACTAACAAGTGATGACGTGGGCTTGAACACTGGCTGTTGAGGAATTCTCCCCCTGCCAGAAGAGTCCAATCCTTGCTCCCACAGGTTGGAAGGGCAAATTGAATTGATCTGTCAAATTCAGGCTGATGGGTGGGCACC